TCCATACGATGTGGGGAACTCTGTGCCACCACTTAACCCTATCCGTACGTCGTGTTTTACTATCGTATCCATACGACGTGGGGAACTCTGTGCCACCAATTTCCAAAGAGGAAATTTACTCGTTAATCCGATCTGTACGCTTTTCATAGCAGTCTGTCAGAATCATTTTTTGAGAATTTATACCGAAGGTTTCAAAGAGATCTTCGCACTAGAAGTATTCTAAAATGTGAAGAATACAACCACTGGGATACAAAATGACCCCCGGCGTACGGATAGGGTTAAATTACTGCACACTGATTTAATTTGGTTTGGTTTGTTTTGGGGGTTTTTTGCGCGCGACTTGATTTCGCGATTTTCTCCATTTTTAAAAGACTTTGTGAAGAGGCGCTGGGCCTACAGCACTGAAGCACACAAGACTGGGCCACTCAAAATCAAGAATTAAAAACGTTCGTGAAAAACGAAATGAGCAATACGCGGGGAAAAAAACAACCCGAAAATCCATAACCACGGTGTACAGTTATTCAAGCTACAACCAAATTCCCCTCAAGACCTAGATCCAGATCTTATCTTACGTGTTGTTGGACTTGTAGAAACCAGCTAGGGGGTAAGGACAGAACTATAGTGGTGTCATTGATTAAAGAATCGATGAGGAAAGACGTCACAATATGACTCTGGCTTAAATAGGTCACCTTGGGTGATAGACAACTACGTCCTTGTCATAATGAATGTTAACAGTTGGCAAAATGTCAAGACCAGGCTTACTATTGTTTACCACTTGCTGTTGTTGTTGTTGTTGTTGTTGTTGTTGTTGTTGTTGATGATGGTGTTGTTGATGTTGTTGCTGCTAGTACTGTTTTTATTGTTGTTGTTGTTGTTGTTGTTGTTGTTGATGTTGTAGATGTTGTTGCTGCTAGTACTGCTTTATTGTTGTTGTTGTTGATGTTGTTGCTGCTAGTACTGCTTTATTGTTGTTGTTGTTGTTGTTGTTGTTGTTGTTGTTGATGTTGATGTTGTTGATGTTGTTGCTGCTAGTACTGCTTTTATTGTTGTTGTTGTTGTTGTTGTTGTTGTTGATGTTGTAGATGTTGTTGCTGCTAGTACTGCTTTATTGTTGTTGTTGTTGATGTTGTTGCTGCTAGTACTGCTTTATTGTTGTTGTTGTTGTTGTTGTTGTTGTTGTTGTTGATGTTGATGTTGTTGATGTTGTTGCTGCTAGTACTGCTTTTATTGTTGTTGTTGTTGTTGTTGTTGTTGTTGTTGTTGTTGTTGTTGTTGTTGTT